ATTCACAAATTTTGGCTAAGCAATTTCATTGAAGTTATTATTCATCAAGTTATATATGTTAATGGCATGCTAACTGTTTTTTGGAACCATTCTAAGTCACAAAGCAAAAATAAATTTTATAACCCTACAGTAACAGAATCTTCTACTACATTCAAATTTAAACAGTTTTTATATTGGGTGCAGCTTAATGAATATTTAAGATACAAAATAAGCAAGTTAAGCAGATCTGAACCATATGGTTTAAATAACTGGTCTACATTTATCAGTTTAACCTACACATTTTAGCAAAGTAGCCACCCTTGCTCTTAAGAAAATTATGCAAATTGCATCTTAAGAATTAAACATTCCATTTGTCATTAATCTGAGAGCAAAGATTTAGAAAAATACGAATAAATTTATAGAAACTTTGCTGCTTTAAAAATGGAGTCTACTGGGCGCCTGGGTGGCTCAGTTGGTTGGGTGACTGCCTTCGGCTCAGGTCATGATCCTGGAGTCCCGGGATCGAGTCCCGCATCGGGCTCCCTGCTCGGCAGGGAGTCTGCTTCTCCCTCCGACCCTCCTCCCTCTCCTGCTCTCTGTCTCTCATTCTCTCTCTCTCAAATAAATAAATAAAATCTTTAAAAAAAAAAAAAAAAGGAGTCTACTTTCAAAAATGACAATTGGGATACCTAAATCAGGTTGTGCTACTTTATTGATCATGCATATAATGGAGCTTCCAAACTTTGCATTCAAAGCTGTAGTATCTTCCAAATCCAATGAGCACAACTATAGGCTTTCTGACCTGTTTTTATTCCAAGTCCCACGAGGTCACATTGTATCCTCAAAAACCAACCATATGGCCATTTTCGAAAGACTTCATGAACAGAAGACAAACCGTGTAAGTGAAGGATCCTATTGTCAAGACTAAATTATAAAACTGACCTTTGAGATTAGTAACACAGTGGTTCATAACCAGGGATGAAGACAACAGTCCCCTGGCAGCTTTCTCAGCACACAGCTGGCCTGGGCCGCACTCCCAGCGTCAGTGGGTCTAGGATATTCTTAAGAAATCAATGCTGGTCCACCCTGACACTTAGGACAAGGCAACTGTAGCTCAGAGAGGTGCATTCTCTTGCTCCAAGTCACCTGTTAGCTAAAAAAAGGAAGGGGCGGGGATCAAATCTCTTTTTTAAAGGGGACTGTACAGACCCATGAGTGGAGTGCATCATGAAAAAGGAAAAGTCTGTCCCATTCTCCCTGCGGTCCTAACGCTAGTCCATCCTGACATTTGAGATGAGACTACAGCAGTCCGGAGACCAGAACTAATAACTTGCCCAAAGTCACATATACCCAAAATGACATCACTGGGAATAAAACCTGTATATACTGCCTCCCAAACTGTTGCTTTCCATTAACTCTGCCAGTCCTGCAAGGTAGTCCGTGTTCTCATTTTGCATGTACTATTGGCAACAAGGATACTTATCGATAGCAAGAGAAAATACAAGGACTGGACTTAGCCACTGCAAGATTCAGAGCAGCTAGTATGCTCCAAAGATATTTTTTTCTACCTGTTGCAAAAGAAAGAATAAAGGATACGAAAAGAGAATTCACCCAGTTCTGTGAACCAGTGAACACTTAATGAAGGGTAGCGCAGAAGAAATGATGGGAAAGCACCCACACAATCACTGTTTTTAAAGCAATGGTCTGTATTGCTGTGTATTCTTCAAATGAATAACAGGAGTTGCATGCACACGTTTATATTCTTAGGTTCTGACTGCATTATCTTATGAATTCTAATGTAGTGTCACTACACAAACAATTAAGCAAATACCTCTAGCAAGCACACTGCTAATGCATCCAAATTAAATAGAGAGAGATATAGACAGATTGGCTGATTGATTTGCAGACTTTCAGTCACATCCAAAGACATACTTTGGAGGGAGGTGATGGGGAAGAGAGAAAGACACACAACCGGCATTACTAATGATATTTGGTTAAAAACTGCTGTAATCCATTTTCTGATGAAGTGGTTCAGATGCATTTTACCCAACCCAAAATACGTAAGACAGAGATTCTTTAATAATAATGTACTTCTGATGAGACAGAATATAGAAAATTACACTCTTGGTAAATTCATCAGCGAGAAGCAATCAGTGAAGCACTGGAGGTCACCTTCAGCATGCCCTCACTCTGCTTTCACAAATAATCACCTGAAATGTACGGCTGGAGGCTGACTTTTTCATCTAAATCAAACATGAAACACTCACTGCACCCCTTCATGTCACACCAGGTTTGTTTTAAACTGTTCACCCAATGCACAGACACTTAGAAAGTCCAGCTGAATGAACGACTCTGGGGCCATTTTTCAGAGGCAAAAAGCACCGATGTTGAAATGCACACATACAAATGCCCCCTTTACAATGGAAAGAACCTAGGCATTAAGATATTTACAAAATCCTATTCTAGGACTCCGAGAATTTACAACACTTTAGACACTTTCCCTCCTCATCAGAGCAGAGGCAATGGATTAGAAAAGCAAAAGCAGATAGGTAGGCCACTCTTCACAAAAGCAAGTTGAAATTTTTTTTAAAAGCGCAGGTAGATTTCCCTTATTTGAAGAGTCTCACCTTTGTCGCCAGAGCTTCGGCACTCTCTCGACAAGTCTTCTCTATTTCAAGATGGTTCTGCATAAAATTGACTTCCTCTATAACCATGTGAGAAACTAGGAATGAGGGGAAAAAAGTCTCAGCATTCAGAGATTAGTCAGCGATTCCAGAAGCCCACACATTGTGTCCCATGACTCAGAATACTTCACTTCTTTAGCTCGCCAGACCTTTAGCTAGCATGGAGGGAAAAAAAAAAAAAAGTCTTGGAAGATGCTGCCCTGATTAAGTCTTAGCCAATATCTGGACGTGGAGGGGGAGAAAAAAGAATGCAGTGAAGAGCCTTCACTGCTAGTGCACACATTTTTAAGAAAGCTAGTTAGGATGCTTTTAAGTGTCGCTTTTCTATGCAGCTGTTCACGGAGACAGACACGTCCACTAACTTAGACGAAAGAATCTCTCCTAAATAAAAAGTGGCAAACGTGAGTTCCTTTTCTTAGCGGGACAGAACGCATGGATCTAATAAGGAAAATGAGCGAGTGAGAAATTTTTAAAATTAAATCTCAACTCGATCTCCTTAACCGGAATAACAATGTGGCAGTTTAGCTCAGGTCAGTACGCAACAGCCTTCCTTATGAGTGATAAAGTAGTTACTGTGATTTAATAAACTCCAGGGCAGAAAAGTATAGCAACGAGAGTTATGGACTCTATGACAATGAAAGCGGATGCTTCTTGCATCACAGACTGTCAGGAAGATTGGAAGAAAAATACAATTTTCCTGGACACTTTACCAATGCTTGAAAAATAGTAATTTTCAGGTTCTTTTAGTAGCTGGTTTATACAAATTGAGATTCAAAGGTACAAAGTAATTTAGAACCTGAATTATACTTCGAAGATCAAGGAAGAGCCAAGTGCCAATTCCTTTCACCCACATTTCTAGTTAAAGGAAAATGCTCAGAATCTTAAACTTCACTGTAGACGTGTATGCTTATTGACATTTGTTTGGCTTAAAAAAGAAAAATGAAGTACACCCAAGTGTGAAACCCCACAAAGTTAGGCAAAAAGCACTGGGCTCACGTAACACAAAGAGAGATTACTTTTGCTTCATTTAAGCTTAATTAACCTGCAATTATGATTAAACTCGGGGGAAAAAAATTTCTCTCCAAATTAAATACAAAAACGTATTACTTCCTAAGTCTGTCCAAAGTTCTTATTATGTTAATATTCAAATTCATAAAGCAGCACTCAATGGCCAGAAACATCTCTAACCTTGACATTTTTTCAGGGGTAATAATAATCTGCAGCAAATGCAGGCCAACCAAAAACCACTTAACTAATTAGTAGTTGCAGTCACCGAGAAAAACATGAATCAACACTGTTATTACAAGTGGCACATTTGAGTGGCATCTAATTATGACTTGATGAGCACGATACTTGCATTATCAACATTACTACTGCATCCCATCAGGGCCTAAAAGCTGCTGATGGCATTGACTTCGAGAAACTCCCACTCAATGGTACAGCAGCACCCAACAATCGGCTTGGCAGGGGCCCCCCTCACTAAATGACACGTTAAGCGTAATTACTGGTAGACATGGTAAATAAACAGGATTGGAAGTGAAAATTGTACCAAGTGCATAAGACACAATCTGACACATTGGAAGTGGCAGCCTTAATTGAGAGTTTCTTTGACTGCTCAAGATCATTTCAACTGCATTTCTCCGAGGACAGTGATTATAACTGTGGAGACAGACGGCATAATGGTATCAGCGACGCTGACAGAGCTGTGAATTAAATTGTATCTGCTGTTGTGTGAGCCTTGATGAGAGGTACAGATGCCTTAGTGGTCTTATCATTATAACACAATGGTCATGTTGTCATCAACCTTTCTGGCTCCAATTGAAAAGAAATGATTGTGTGTGGAGGCTCTGCCCCCCCCCCCCCCACACCACCCCCCTCTCCTCTTCTATCTCTTGTTCTGAATAGAACCAATTTTCAGAGAGCTATGAAATCACGCAATAGGTCCTAAAATGCAGCTGCTTGGCATACAAACGGGTCCCCATTAAACTGGAATCACACACAATATGTGTTTATGCCAGAAGAACAAATAGAAGCTGAACACAGGCCAAGTTTATTCACACACACAAAGCCCATGTAGCTCTTCATCAATATAATTGCCTTTTATATTGTAGTTTAAATAATAGGCTCTATTATTTCCTTAAAATCCTAATATTCTTGGCATTTTATCACTATGTTTACAAGGTAGGTTCTTCAAAAATGTGAAGGAAAGAGAAAAGAAACCTATACAATTTTTACAACATCAAATATTACTTTGAATTTTTAGCCTTAACTACTTGACTTCTTCTGCCACAATCTGGTATTTCCACCATCATAACAAAAACATAAACACTCTGCATGTTTCATAGGAATTTGACTTTTTATTCAGTAACATTCTTGCTCATGGAAGAGTAAGGAAAAATCATTCCACATAGCAAGGTTTAGGCCCAGCAAAAAGAAACACACACACACACACACACACACACACACACTTATTTTCTGAACATTTTGTAAAAAGCTGCCCTGTAATTTAACTTGATAAAACTTACATAGGCAGCACTAGCCCACATTTTTCTCCAATTCTCATACAGCAGGCCCCATCTAATACGTTTTTTTTTAATCTCTTCCTCTAAGAGGGAACAGTAGAAATCAAAAGTTGTGCTTTGATTTTTAGTTTAAAAAAATTATCTCAATGCTAAATAGGGAGCAAGGAAACCTACCTATCGACTTTCTAGATTTAAAAGAAAATAACATGCTTCAGAGGGCATTTATATCTTTAAAAAGCATGACCCCATTGCTAAAATCACAAGTCAGGTTACATGACACAAAACAGAAATTTTTGTAACATATAATTTTATTTGCACCTTTCAAAGGATGAAAGTTTTTTTAAAAAAACTTTAATTTGTTCATTTAGTGATTGGTCCTATGGTGCTGAATTCAGGCTTATCTCGTAATATCCATAGATCATGAGTGATAACTACACCTAAAATATCTGTAATTTGGAGGACATGGAGGCTTAAAACAGAAGAAAGATGAATCCTAGTCTTTTACAAACACATATTGAAATATTTATATTCATTTATGATGAAATTATCATTAAATGATATGATGACTGGCATTTCCAAATAATCTGAGGTCAGTGAGAATGGATGTATGGACAGAGATGAAAGTGGATTGGCCAGGAGTTGGTAACTGTTGAAGCTGAATGATGGATACATGGGGGTTCATTGCATTATTTTCTCACTTCCGTATAATAAGCTTGATATTTTCCATAATAAGAGTTGTTTTTAATGACTCTGACAACTCAGAAGCATAACCTACAAGTACATCAATGATTGCTTCCACCAGTCTAGTTGAATCAGCAGAATTTTTTTATCCTCTTCATGACCCCAAAACACTCTTACATACTTGCCATCGTGGAATGGAGGGCAACTGGGTTTTTCTTTTTTACTTGTTTTTGTCTTTTATTAACTACAAGCATTACAGCAGAGACTCTGCTTTACTCACATCTGACTCTCTTGCACCTGGCATACTGCTAGGTATAAACTAGGAAGTCACGTCTGTGTTTGCTTGAGTGACTGGAAAAATCTATCAGGCCTAGATCTGTCTGTGAACACCCCTTTACAAGAATGTTCTCTCTAGAACGGAACTGCTTAGGACACAACCACCATCACCCACCATTGGGCCAACTGTGTGTTCGGCCTGTGCTAAACCCTTTCCACTTGTTCTGTGCTGAGTCCTCACGACAGTCTTAGGAGGTAGGTATCATCACAGCAATTTCCTATTTGAGAACATCGAAGCCCAGAGAAGTCAAGTAGCATATATCCCAAAATGCAGTTCTAACTGGTAAAGCCCAGCTAAACTAATTTCTAGGCCACTCCAATTTTCTAGGCTTCTTTCTAACTTGTATTCAAATGTGACACCACCCATGGGACTGCCCTGAGCAAAACTCCTCTCCATCCAGCCAACCCTCAGCAACGCCCAGACGCAGGATGTCTCTGCAGCATACGTGGTGGACACGCTGTACGTTCTCCTGCAACGTCAGATCACTTGAGAGGTCTTCACACAGTGTGGGAACAGCGACGCACTGGCAGGTGTGTGGGAAAACAGGTACGTCCTAACACACAGCAAAGGCTCTCACGTTCTGGCTGAAGGACATGAAAGGCCGTTAGTTACTTCTCGCACACGGATCTGTCTCCCTAGGGAACGTGGCTTTGCTCTGCAGTGGTGCTCTGTGCAGGAAGACAGGAGAAGAGGCTCAGGAAGAGCTGGCGGAGGGCAGAGAATGGCAGGGAGAAACGGATGAAACCAGCTAAGAAGAGCATGGTCAGCTAGGTGAGTAGAGCCCGCCGACCTAAGGGAGCTCTTCCTGAGGCTCTTCCCTCACTGAGATCTGGGCCTCGTAGGTGAACATGACGGGCAGGCAGCGTTCAACTTTGCGCCCGAAGATACGTTCCCCCAGGGCTGTCCAAGTGCCAAGACCAGGGTCTGAAAACTCACTCGTGAACTGACTCGCGGCCTCTTCACACTGAAGGGCACCCAAGCTCAGGATGGGACAGTAAATGAGATGGTGGTAGCAGCAGCTAACATTTATTGAGCACTTAAACCATAATGCCAGGCACTGTGTTCAGCACTTTTTACATGAATTATCTCATTTATTCCTTGAACAGCCTATGAGGCAGGGTCACTTATCCCAATTTGACTAATGCAGAAATTGCTCAGGACTACGTGGGTGCACATTAAATGGTGCTTTTTACCGGTGGTAACCGCTGCAATCCCTTCCAAATCGGAAATTCTGTTCTCTGTTCGAAAGTCGTCAACGATTACCCCAGACACAATGTTTTAACAAATATTTCGAGTTTTCGTCGTCCCCATTTTCTGTTCTTTTGAGACGGAGTCAAGAGTCGGCATTCTGTTCCCCTGCCGTCCAAACTTTAAATTAATTAAGCAGACTTAGAAAAGTCAAAAATTCAATGCATACAACAATAAAGATCGTTGTACTAACCTTTCAATCGATTCTTTCAGGCTTTGAGTTGCTCGTAAGGAAAAATGTGAATTTTTATAAAACTATCAAAGATATTTAGAGGAAGAGACAAAGGGAAAAAGGAAGTGGGAGAGGAAAGCAGTTTACATGTTACTCTAAAGGTAGGCTGATTTGGGGAGAAGCTCCTTCCATTTCTGCAGAACGCAAGAAGCAACATGCCTACTACCTGCCCGACCAGAGCATTTTATAAGTCTGACCCTAAGAACTTGAACTATTCCTACTACACACAGCATGCCAATCCACTATCAATAATTAATTTGAGAACATGAATTGGTAACAATGTTGATGGTATAACTCAGTGTGACCCGGTGTCAGCAAAAGTGTAAGGACATCAAATTAATCCTGCATTAGAGAAGAAGAAAGTCCTACGCAACTGCAATTCATACATTCACAAATAAGAGGTATTTCTGTCATAGCGTGTTGGCCTCCAAAGAAAAGTAACATCAACAATATTCCCCTGAGGTTTTGTTACAGCCAGACACTTGAAATAAACTGGCTATTGAAATGAACTATAATGCTCCATTTTCATGGCTGTTTAACCTTCAACAAGAATAAAATGTTCTGTTGTGTAGTTACCAAGTCAACACTTTACGATATAATCAAACAGCCTGATACAGCATCTGCAGAAAGATGGAGAAAGACCCTGCTTCCAAGGGGGAGGGCCATCTTTTCCTGCTAAGGTCTGGTCCTTTTACCATGACCTATTTCCTTCTGATCCTTCTGAGTGTGATCAGATACATTCTGTCTTAGGGGATAAGGTAATGACAGATTTGCGTAACACACAAAAATACCACAGCAAAAATTTAGAATATTACTACAGCTTTTGTGGGAATACAACATGCCTTGGTGAGAGGGCCATCTCAAACATTCAGACTCTTAAGAATGTGTAAGTTCTGTTAACTAGAATTCCTTTTCTATGAATTAATGTAAGAAACAAATCAGATCACTGTAAAGATGTGTAAGAATACTTGACATGGCATTACTTAGAATATCTAAAACTCAGAAATAATCCATCTATCACTGAATGTTTAAATAAATTAGGGTACTGTTGCGTAATAGGATACAGGAAAAAATATACATCCCTACTAACATGCAAAGATGACCATAATATACCACTCACTGAAAAAAGCTGGCTGCAAAACCGAATGCAAAGCACGACTTTATTTTTTGTAGACATAAATATTGCCCACACATAAAAGACCAAGACAGAAAGACTATAAAATGCTAACATTGCCTTTTCTCAAAGAGTCAAGATAACAAGCAATTTTTGTTCTCCTTTAACTGTCCTGCATAGTAAAATTTTTTTTATAACAAGTGCAAACTCTCTTTTATAATAACATACTCATGAAATAATAATGGTCATTCCATTTGTCTGAAAATCACAGTAATGTCAGGACATTTTTTGGGGGGCAAATGGGAAGACAATTCTTGCCTTCTTGGATGCCCGATGCCGCAGCAACTAAACATAGGGGACGTGTCTACGCACATAATTCCCAAACACAGTTATGTGTGTTATAATAATTCCAACGAAATGCTTACATACTTTTCTGAAATTCCTCCAGTTTTTTAACAGCTTCATCTCGTTCTTGCCTAATTTTGTCACACTGAAAGGAGAAAATACAGAAATGTTAAATGTGTGTCACAAGTTTGGGAAGGCAAGAAAGAGCAAACGTATAAACAGTAACAGTTTTATGAAAAGAAAACAAAAATTAAAAACCTTTAAAAAGCATTAACGGTCACATGGTACTTACACTACTCAACCAGCGTGGTCTTTGTACCATCTGTATCTGGCCACTTGCCTTGGACCTTCCAAGATAATGAGTCATCTTACTGCTCATTATCTCCTCAGGAACAGACCAATTTAACATCCTTGAGTTCAAATTACTCATTCTTTAAGAGAATATACGTGCCTCTTTTTAAGTAGGTATTTTGCTAATACAGTGAACACCCCACACATCTGCAGGTCAGATTCCCTGAAACTGGGTAGCGACGAACTCTCCAGAACCCTCCAGAACACTGGTGCACAGCCGGAAGTGATACCTACTTGAAGACAAAACTGCTGCCGTGCGCCCCCTTGAAATCTTCAGTTAAGGAAAAATACCCTCATATGCTTAGAATTCCAAATAGAAGGTAGCAAATTAAAATGAGAAAATATAAAATATTCCAAATAAGCATATACCATTTACATAAACTAATTTTTAGGTTTTTTTTTTTTTTAAAGATTTTATTTATTTATTTGAGAGAGAGAATGAGAGAGAGCGCACATGAGAGGGGGGAGGGTCAGAGGGAGAAGCAGACTCCCCGCCGAGCAGGGAGCCCGATGCGGGACTCGATCCCAGGACTCCAGGATCATGACCCAAGCCGAAGGCAGTCGCTTAACCAACTGAGCCACCCAGGCGCCCCTAATTTTTAGTTTTAAAAGGTGGGAGGACTCACTGAAAACACCAGGAGGAGGTAAGACCATAAAGGCCAAAAATAACTATTAAAGCATGAGGACCTTTCAGGGTATCTGGTATAGAAACAAGTATCCATTATTTTAACAGGCCCTCAAAGTATTAATGAATTTTATAAACACCTCATGTTCATTATGAGGACTGATTCAACTTACTGTGAATTTCACAAAACAGGTTAAGTATAACACATTTTAGAAAGATTTTCATCAAAAAGGTCTAAAACTTTAAAAAGTGATTTTTAAGAGCAATAATTAAAATCTGAATTTTCTGGGAATACTATAATACTGTAACAAGAGGGTCATGTGAGCAAAACACAACTTTTTTTTTTTTTAAAGGTTTTATTTATTTATTTGAGAGAAAGAGTGAGCAGGCGAGAAAGCATGAGCGGGGGCAGAGGGAGAAGCAGGCTCCCTGAAGAGCAAGGAGCCCGACATGGGGCTCGATCCTGGGATTCCAGGATCATGACCTGAGCAAAAGGCAGATGCTTAACCGACTGAGCCATCCAGGTGCCTCAGTAAAACAAAACCTTAAATTATATTTTAATCCTACTGTGCCAGATAAATATATTGGGATTTCATGCCTTTGGATATTTATTTCAAATTTCAATGGCTAAAAAATTATGATGCCACCGATAATTTGGAAAACCCAAATTAAGACAGTGAGATAGTCTCATCTAATAGACTGGCAAAAACTAAAAAAATGTGCTATCAGGAATTGAAAACTGTCATATACTGCTGGTGGGAGCGTCAAGAGACATAACTAGTTTGGAAATAAACTATCAAAATTGAAAATGCATACGCCCTATGACTCAGCAATACCACTTCTATTTTTTTTTTTTTTTTAATTTTTATTTTTAAGTAATCTCTATACCCAGCGTGGGACTCAAACTCACCACCCCCGAGATCAAGGGTCACCTGCTCTTCTGACTGAGCCAGCCGGGCACCCCTGCAATCCCACTTCTAGATTCTATTACTGGAATCTCTAGTAATGTTCTACATACACATTCAGCATAAATCATGGTATATTCCTGTAACACGTTAGAGAACAGTGAATGAATGAACATAAGCTGTATGTGTCAACCTCTACCTCAAAAGCCATAATGGTGAATAAAAGGAGTTGGAGAATCCATGTTAATATATACCTTAAGCCAATAAAATCACTTTATAGACTTAGACTATAAATGTATATTTCATGATACATACGGCATATATAGAAATATAAAAAGACAAAATAGAAGGATACATACAAAATTTATCACATTAGTTATCTCTTAAAATATAGGGAAGGGGACCAGGGCTGGGTGTCACAGAGGATCTTCAATTATATCTGTAGCATTTTTTTAAGTTTAAAAAAAAAATAAAAGTTAATTCTTTTTTTTTAAGATTTTATTTATTTATTTGAGAAAGAGGGAGAGAGCGCACGAGAGTGGGGTGAGGGGGAGAGGGAGAGAGAATCTCAAGCAGACCCCCTGCTGAGCGCAGAGCCTGACGTGGGGCTCCATCTCAGGACCCTGAGATCATGACCTGAGCCGAAACCAAGACTCAGACGCTTAACTGAGCCACCCAGCCACCCCAAAATAACAGTTAATTCTGTGGGTTACATATTTGTTGTTATTCTCTGCCCTTCTCTGTGCTTTAAAATATTTTTTTTTAATTTAAAAAAATTAAGTCAACAGTTCAGTCTTCCCCTTTAATGTCTCAAGAACTGAAACCTGGAAAGTCTGTATCTTCATTCATTTGGGTAAATCCGTTCTGGCAAGAGTACACAAAACAAGTCCTAATTCTAAATTAGCAAGGCTGTTTACCAAACCCTGACTTGGGAGGGGTCAGGCTGGGCCATTTCCTTAAGGAGGATGCATATTCTTTCATTAGGGTTTTCTTGACGGATCTCTCCTCTGTAAAAAAAAAAAAGTAATGCTGTCTAATATAGTTTCTACTTCCAACTTAACAAATAAACTGCCTTTATTAATTTCTGGTGTTTAAAATTCTAAACACTAGAGTTCTGGATTCTTGAACAAGCTTTCTGAGATCCTTCCCCCACCAGACAGAGACTGCTGGCCTGCTGTTTCAGGAATGTTCTTCTTGTCTTCTAGAATGTGGCTTGTCTATGCGGTGCTTCCCCACCCCCTTGCCAGTCTGCACACCCACCTCCAACAATGCACAGTTTAGTCTAAAGCACAAAAGAAACAATTTCTGACTAGACTCACTCTCCTGAGTTATGACTGCCAAATCAAATCTGCTGTTTTACTTTTTTTTTTTTTTAAAGATTTTTATTTATTTGTCAGAGAGAGCACAAGCAGGGGGAGCAGCAGAGGGAGAGGGAGAAGCAGGCTCCCCGCTGAGCAAGGAGTCCGATGTGGGACTCGATCCCAGGACCCTGGGATCATGACCTGAGCCGAAGGCAGACGCTTAATGACTGAGCCACCCAGGCGTCCCTCTGCTGTTTTACTTTCAAATTAACTTCACGTTTCTTCATCTGGCATTTCTGAAGGTGTAAGACGCCCTGTGAAAAAACTGTCTTTACCTAAGATTTGGTGCTTGGGAGCGCTGCCCCTGACTTAATACCACTTGGATACTTCTATATACCTCTCAAAGCTCCACCTGAACTGTTACTTAAATCAAAAGTCAGAGTTTTCACTGACACTTTGCATGACAAGAGCATTAAACTGGATGGCACTCTACCTACTCAGATCTGAAAAAGCCCACCGACTGACATCACACAAGATCCCTCCCATGCAGTTCCCGAGTACAGGTCATGAACAACACATGGCAATTTTACAGAGGCTTACACCAGCTTCCGAGAAGGAAAGTGTTATGCCCCTGCTCTCTGCTCCTAAGGCCCAGGTGGACGGGCTTTCATTAATAACAGGTCTCAACAACACGGTCCTATTCCATCATGCCAGTAGCCAGTTTCCATCATCCAGCCGTATGTTTTTACAGGAACCCTACAGACATCACCAGAGAATTCAGAGGCTGTCACCCAACCCCAGCTGTACTCTATCAGGGGTCTTCATTTTGCTTTGCTTTCTATTTTCTGCAACCACATTATGATAAAACTGGCAGCCACAGAATTTACCATCTGCTACGGATACTGAAAGGGGTGTGCGTTGGGGGGAGGGGGGACCTACACGTACGGCAAATGCAGCTGACTTATCCCCACACCAAAGCTGAACAAAATAAGAAGGATGCACCCGTTTACTAAGCAGAAATCCAGGCATCCGCTTATTTCATCATTTTAGGTGAACCCAGCAAAATAGCTCGCAACCTTTCTCTCCTTCTACCAACAGGGAAGTCCGCAAGGATTCTGGGCCTCTACGGGAGACGGTTACGTCTCTGTGTCCTGCAGAAGCCCCTCACCCATCCTGCCCCTTCTTCTACCCTGCCCAGGCAGCTGCAGCATTTGTAGAAACGGCCTCTTTTTGTGTGAGAATTGCTCATGAAGACCTTGCAATAGCAACAGATGTGAGGGCCCACATCACTGAATTAGGATGCCCAGCGACTCTCTGGAGAGCTTGTGGCCGGGGCAGAACCCGGCAGCTTGAGCGTGGCTACTTTCCACAAGCCGGATAACATGAGGTCTCTTCTAGAGTCGAGGGTGGCTCATTACGAAGTGGTGCACTGACCAGAGGCTGGCCTTGCCGGTTTCGAATAGGAGAGGCCCTGGTCTCAATATGAGAAGCCCTGGCCGTGTTCCGTGTCTGTTCCGTGAGCCTCATCCGGGCAGCTACCTGGCTTCCAAGACTCAAGCGGCATTTCAAAGCACTGACAGAATGACTGGCGGAGGTAAGTGCCTCCAGTGGGAACTGGCAGCGCTGAGCCTCCCCCGCTCCCCGAAATGGGCAGCTCCCTTCCTTCTCCCCCACGCAGCAACTACCGTTTAGACCAAAGCGTCTGCCTCACAGGCTCAGCAGAGAGCCAGAGAAGTTGTAGATACTAAGACGTCTTTACATGCTGCCGTGCGTATAGTTAATGCAAGGAAAACCCCAATATTCTGAATCGTGTCTGGCCTCCACTAACATACACATTCACTTTGATCTCCAAGGTGCACGAATGCGGCGGAGGGCTGCCAACCTACAGAAAGGCCT